TTTTTAATATGTAAAATATCATAAATGTATGGGGGCGCCGGTTATAAAAAATAAACTAAAACATGATTATCAAAGTTTATCTATTCTCACTCTTACCCTTACATAGGTTACTTTGAGATTGATACCATATCAATAAATCCATTCGACATTTGTCTTAGTACAAGCTAGATTATCATCTAAAGTCATTTAGTCTCTCTTGGATGTAAAATCAATGGAGAGAAACTTGGCTTTGATACTAACTGTTAGGACCGTAAATGACACTAAGAGAGAGGTGAATTAGTGCTTTCGTAAAAATATCAGTTTAAAAATTTCATTAGATAAAACCCGTATCGGAAAGCGTTTAAACTTAGAGAGCAAGTGAGAGTAGTAGACAAATGAATCAATAAGTGACAATGAAAATTAGAAAGAAAGTACACACCAAGTTTATAGCGGTTCGGTTGTCGCGACCTATGTCTACTCTTGATTCTTCTTTTGTCAAGGCCACCGACATTCACTGACGACCTTCTTTCAATAGGTAAAGACTAACTACCCTCTTTACTATTGAATCTCAGATTTTGATGATGAAATCAATTGGTAAATTATTGATCTAATCCATATGTTGAGATAAGTGTTGTGGGATTAACTATGATAGCAATGAAGGCATAAAGTAAGATTTTGGGTCGGAGTCAAATATCAGAGGATACGTCAAAGATTTGGACTATGTGCCGGTGGTTTGTCGGAAGCTCGCCGAGAGTTCATCAAGAGCTCGTCGAGAGTTCGCTGAGAGTTCGTCGGGAGTCCACCAAGAGTTTGCCGGGAGTTCGCCGAGAAATTTGTCGGAAGTTTACCGAGAAGTTCACTAGAAGAACAATTGATATACCAAACCATGATTGCTTAGATAATATTTTAAATTATCATAGTTAGACCTTAAGTTGAGTTAGAATTGGAAGGTAATCCCACTAACTCAGTTAGAAGTTAACTGGGCCCTTAACAAGGATGTATTAGGCTGATTGAACAACTCATTCAGCACATGAAGTCAGGGCCGGTGGCACCGCCTGGGACTCGATCTCCTAGATGGTCTATGGCACGCCCCCCGAATTTATTATAGATCAATAATACATTACATTCCAGGATCCAAGCACACATTTGGGGATACTAAGAAAACATTCAAGTTATTCGCATCTATAATTCCCCAATTCATAAACATGAGAGGTTTCATATCATTACATAAATTAAACTTAACACTACAAAATCTTAAACATGAGAGGTTCTTTAAACTTTTATAAAACTCATAAGTTTATATTTACCATCAACATTCTAATAGACACCAAGTGTACTCATACAACAAAAGCATATCATCCACTAAAGGTTTGCCCAAAGTCTTTTAGCTTTCCATAGCCTCAGCCAAATTTAAACATTTTAGCGAGCGATATCATGAAAATTTTATATAACAATGGAGGGTTAGCATATAGAGCTCAGCAAGCGACTAACATATCAATGGCGAAAAATGATAGTTTCAAAGCAAATAAGGTACCAAATATAAGGCAAGGATACAAGAGTTCGTAGATAGTCGCTCAAAGAATGCAGAATTATAATGTCATTTTATTCGAAGCATGTTTTGTTCATAACAAGGGAGTAAAGACTAATTGGAGCATATCAATGGCATATGAAGCATTTCGAAGTATATCAATGGCATATGAAGCATTTCGGAGCATATTAATGGCATATGAAATGTTACGGAGTATATCAATGGCATATGAAGCATTTCAGAGCATATCAATGACATATGAAATGTTACGGAGTATATCAATAGCATATGAAGTATTTCGGAGCATATGAAGTATTTCAGAGTATATCAAGGACATATAAAATGTTTTGGAGCATATCAATAACAAACGAAAAATTTCAGAACATATCAATGACGGATGAAATACTTCAGAACATATCAATGGCATATGAAGAATTTTAGAGTATATCAATGGTATAGGAAGTATTTCGGAGCATATCAATGGCGGATAAAATATTTCGGAACATATCAACGGTAGATGAAATGCTTCGGAACATATCAATGGCGTATGAAATGTTTCATAAAATATCAATGGCGGATGAAATGCTTCAGAACATATCAATGACATATAAAGCATTTCGGAGCATATCAAGGGCGTATGAAATGTTTCGGAACATATCAATGACATATGAAATGTTTCGGAGTATATCAATAACAAATGAAATATTTCGGAGTATATCAATGACATAGGAAGCATTTCGGAGCATATCAATGGCATATGAAGCATTTTGGAGCATATCAATGGTGTATGAAATGTTACGGAGCATATTAATAACAAATGAAATATTTCGGAACATATCAATGATGGATGAAATGCTTCAGAATATATCAATAGAATATGAAGTATTTAAGATCATATCAAAGAACAAATACGAAACAGAAGCTCAAAACGTCGCATTTGACGTTGCACATATTTCATTCTTATCCAAAGCATATATAGAAGCACATAACCAAAGATTGGGATATCATATCAAACAGATAGAGGGTGATGTGGGATCCCAAATATAATATGGTCCATTCATTTCTGAATGGCCACCAAACATAATATAGAGCATCGCAGGCTCTAAGCACATACCCTTTACAATTTATGACAAAGGTTCAAATAATCCCTTTACCATTTCTGACAAAGGTTCAAATAATCCCTTTACCATTTCTGACAAAGGTCCAAATAATCCCTTTACTATTTCTAGCAAAGGTCCAAATAATCCCACAAACACTAGAGTAAAAAATGGTATTGTGAATAATAAATTGGGACATATCAGAAACACATAAGAAATAATAGAATGCATGTGTCTACACGCAACATTATGATACAAACATGAATTTTACATAATAGATTCAGATATATTAATAATTGAAGGACAAAAGTATACAGGATTTCAAAGTAATAATGTAAAGCTCAACTGAAGTAAGGATTTTAGTTGAAATCAATTTCCAAAAAGATGAAACAAGAATAAGTGAAATCGACCAAAGCTCGATTCAGACAAAATTTGAGAGACACATTTCATGAATTGTTTGGATAATTAATTATGCTCCAATTTACACAAAATAGAGCCAACAAAGGTTTTATCATGAGTTTCCGAGGTACTGGCGGTACCACCACCTTCACCCTTGACAACTGACGATATCAGTGCCTTGTTTGGATGGTACTATCGCTTGACACATGAGAGATCGTGTACTAATGGTACTATTGCCAGTCTGGGTGGTACCACCACTAGTCTGGGCTGTACCACCGATTGGCATTGATGGTGCCATTGTCGGGTCTTTTGGAAAACATACACTTCGTGCATTCCAGCTCATAGGTGGTTGCACTGCTAAAATCTGATAGTGCCACCACTTGACCCAACTTTGGGTTACTGAATGGGTCTCCCAATGGGCCCAACTCAGCCCTAGATTAGGCCTAATGGGCCCGTAATTGAGTGAATAGGATTACATACAAAACTAATTCAATTTACGACCTAACTACGATAATTAAGATCTAAACAATTACAAGACAAGAAATCTAAGTTGTCTGGTATGTCATTGGTTCATCCGAACTCCCGACAAACTTCCGGCGCGTCGTCCAAACCTTCGGCATATCGCCCGATCCATTGGTATGTTGACTTCCGTAACATCCAATCTTAACGCAACGTCCGAATCTTCCGGCTCGATGCTTGATTTTTGATTCTAGCCCAATGTCTAATTCTTTTTACTTTAATCATTTTATCTTTTTTTGATCAAAGTTAGTCTTGCATTACTTTTCGTAAAGCATATATTAGATCGTAAATTCATCAATTGATTTATATTTTGACATGAGGTATTTCTAAATGAGGTATTTCTAAATTATATTTATATTTTGGCATTGAAAAATCTATGTTATTTGGCTATACAAATATAGATATAGCTGGTAAAATTGATTTTAAAAAGTCTACCTCTAGTTACTGGAGGTTAGTTTAAAGGGGGAGCAGTATTTTAGTAGTCAAAACAATAAAAAAAAGTATTACCTAATCTATTAAAGCTGAGTATATTACTAAAGAATTCTTGTGGATGAAAAAGTAATTAAAACAGTTAGGACTCAAGCAAGAAAATTTTATTTTATATTGCGACAGTGAAAGTGTTAATTCATCAAAGTAAAAAACTAATGTTAGTTATCATTAGATTTGAGATATATTAGAGATGAAGTTATTACATTTTGAGAAAATCCATACTAAATATGATTAAATCATTATTAAAAAAAAAACTTATTGCATATAGAGAGATAGTAGGTATGGAGGCTCTCCCCACATGGTTGTGAAGGGGAGATTTGTTGGTGATCCCACCCATGACTTAAGTGGTGGGACCCATAGGGATTAATTAAAAATATAATCATAATCTTATATGATTATCATAGGAAATAAAAGAATTTTCATCGTGATTCAGACTGTTATGATTTTTTTGATATAGATAATATGCTCTTAGAATTGAGCATAGATATAGAGTAAAACTCTATATATCTATGTTTTTTGTTTTTTCCAATAATAAGATGGGAAGCCAATCGACGTTCGAAGTCGACCATCGATAACATCCCCCAACATAAATTTGGTTTTATTATATTATTTGTATTGTCGGGCGAGAGCATCGATGACTTTTTGACATAAAAAGAAGCTTCCAATACATTGGACTCCAGAGAGGGTTGCAGCGGCGAAAGGACAAAAGAGTTGGCCAGCGCGGAGGAATGGGGATCTAAAAATTCTGCACCAGGTTCGTCTCGTCTATCTAGAAGCACGCTGGTCTGCAGAAACGGACGACGTAGAAAGAAACACATCATCCATCACGCAACCATTACAATGACAAGGCGTGGACTAAAACAGTCCACTGACCATGCATTCGTCTCCCTGATGAGTCATCATACGCACGCCGTGGCTGTTCTAGAATGCAGACGCCGAAGGAGAACAGTGGCCAGATTTGTCCTTCTCCCAATACCAGAGGGTTGGTGTTAGGTAATCGCATCAGGTGCCCACGGTAAGCAGAGGAAAAGGTTGAAATCCCACTATATCAAGTGTTTGTTTCAGGCTGCAGCATACGCAGAAACAGAGCGAGGAGAAGGGAGCGAAAGAGGTTTTCATGGGTGTAGAAAGGTTTCGGTTTGTGGTCGTGCTCATGTTCTTGGTTTCCTTCCATGTCCATGTCTCCAGAAGCACAGAGGCCAGACCACTTCTCATCGCCAAGGAGAACAGTAAGAGCAATAATACAAGAACCCTCTCTTTCTTTCTACCTAAGGATTCTTCTGAGCGTGTTATTTGATTGGAACGATTCAGGGTATGTCCAGGTGTTGCAGTCACTTGGAATCACATGCCGCTGCTGCGATGGCGTGGGAGGTGAATGCCGGAGGAGTTGGGCGTACCCCTGTGCTAAGCTGGAGTGCCACCCTTGCAAGTTCTCGTGAGTTTTGCCTGGGAGCGAGTTCGGTTATGTATGTGTAGGAGCTGGTAGTCTTGTAAATTGTTTCGAGGACTCAAAATATAGCATTGGAAATACTTCTTTTATGTCCAGTAATTGGAAAAAGGATTCTCTGGTAATCTTTCCATTGTTGTGGTTTGCAATGATGTCGAGGATGTATCGAAGCACTGAGTTTGAGGATGGCAGCAGAAGGAAGATTGCGTTCTGAAGGCGCTGCGCTGCGCTGCGCTGCTGCTTAAATATTGCCCTTTGAGAGTACATTATTTCAAGATCGACATCATTTCCATGGCTGAATGCGAGAACGAATTGGGAATTTGCATTCTCCACGACAATTGAACAGTCTTAGGATATATATATATATATATATATATATTGGTAAGAACTAAAAGAGTTGAATTATAGATTTGACTCAAAATTTAAAGACCTGAACTTTCAGATTGAATTGATATGCAAGCTGACTAGTTTGATTGAGTCATACACTCATAATCAATAAATAAATTTCAAAGAAAGAGGGTCTACTTACTTATCTTGTCATGCCAACACTTGGAGAGCTGCTACAACTGTCATAAAAGTATATTTAGAAGAGGTTCTCGTAAGAAGTGCCCATTATTTTATTTATTTATTTATTTATTTATTAATTATTAATATAAGTATTATTCTTCAACATTAAAAACTAAAAACCTAAGATTTCAAACCAAGATAGATTATATATAAAATAAATAATTTGTGGGTGAGTTATGCATCGGATGAAGCTTTAATTTCTTAATATAAAATAAATAAGTCGAATGTATATTTTATATAAGGCAATCGTTTTCAACCTCACGAGACAAAGGCGAGCAATCGAGAAGGTCAATGGGCAGCATCATGCTAAAACTATTCTTAGCCGATCCTGAAAAATCAGAACACATGATTACTTTATTTCCCAAAATAGGAATCTGTATTACAAGCTAAAACTACGCACGAAAAGACAAGTGTGCACAAAGAATCCGACTTTTCTGCAGATCCATAAGAATGTGGAGATAAGTAAGTCCCTTTTGTGTCCGTGGGCCTAATCACAATCGATGCCCAGTCATTTTGATTTAATGATTTGGACTTAAACTTAATTAATAACGATTTAATGATTTGAACAATATAATTCTCGAGCTAAAATATAATTTTATAAAAAAAAATAATTAGGATGAAAATATTTTCCTCGTTCGAATTTAGATCGATTTACCAGTATTCTTTTTGGGTATGGAATGTGAAGGCAATAGAAACAAAAATAGAAGCTCTTAATTTATCACAAATACCAATCTTTTTCATATACACAAAAAAAAAACAAATGTTTTGTCACCTAAACTTAGTTATATCAATATTTTTAAGTGGAGTTATAATGTTTTAGTCTAATAGTGGAGATATGTCCATCTTCCAAATATATATTTTATATAAAATTCTCGTATAAGTAAGGTATATATATATATATATATATATATATATATATATATATATATATATATATATATATATATATAATGATGATGATAATAATAATAATAATAATAATAATAATAATGATGATGATAATAATAATAATGATAATGATAATGATAATAATAATAATAATAATAATAATAATAATAATAATAATAATAATAATAATAATAATAATAATAATAATAATAATAATAATAATAACAATTTAGATATGCGAGGAATTAAACTCATTTAATTTCGCCTACAATAAATATTATAAATTAAAAATAATACTGAGTTGCGTCCGTCGGCGGAACCCTTTGCATGGTTTGCAACACACAATAAATTTTGATTCGATGATCATTTATCACCTCATCTGTGTTGAACACTAAACAGCGACTAACCTTTTTGGATCACCCACCGATTGCTCCCCCGAGCACACCTTCTTGGTTGTCGTTTGAAGAGGAAGACTAGCCGATCTGATCACACACAGTTGATGACTCGTAGAGCTTGCTTGCGTAGACGCTTCATCGCACGTAACCGTTCCCAACCTGCATCTACATATAGATGGAGAGAGAGAGAGAGAGAGAGAGAGAGAGAGAGAGAGTACGTTCCCTAGCGAAGGTGATCAGAGAGAAAATGGGCATCCCCAGTGCGTGCTGTCTTCTTCTCTCCTTCCTCTCCTTGGTCCTCCTCCTCCTCCTCCCGACCCCTTCCACTGCTAACGACAACAACATCTTGCTCACCGGCGACGTCCTGCGACCTGACTGCCAGCTCTCCTTCCTGGACGCGTCCCTCACCATGCGGAGCGACTGCGACCTCGTGTTGTATGCACAATCGGACCCCGTCTTCAGCTCCTCCACGTACGACGAGGGTGCCTTTAACTGCAGCGCCGTCCTCAACCAATACGGCCAAATCGTCATCTCCAACCCCCTCACCGGCCGCGTCCTTTGGGTCTCTGGGGATCCCGGCCCCCAAGGCAAGTACGCCGCCGTCCTCAAGCCCGACGGAAACTTGGGCATCTACGGCCCGCCCATCTGGTCCACGCTTCCAGTCGTCACCGAGGGCCAAGATAACCCCGTGGGAGAGGTGAATTCAGTGAAGGCGCCGCTGAAGAACACCTTGTTCTCCACCGAGATCCTCGAAGAGAAAGGCGAGCTGACAACCAGGGATTACACTCTCGCCATGGATGATTCTTGCAGTCTGAACCTGCAGAGAGGAAGTGAGCAATACCTCTGGGTTTCTGGAACGGCAGGCCTCGGTGCTCACTGCTTCCTTAGGCTCAACCGCTTGGGGCAGCTCACCATCAAGGACGACAGGTATAAGACCCTGTGGTCGACGGCGCCGTCGTCACAGGGTGAGGGCGAGTACGTGCTTATCCTCCAATACAACGGACAAGCTGCCGTCTACGGGCCTATGTTCTGGGCTGCTGACGCCGAGGACGCCGATGTCACTCGAATCTCTTCTTCGCCAAAGTCTCAGCCGATGCCTTCACAGCCGATGTCTCCACAGCCAATGCCTTCACAGCCGATGTCTCCACAGCCAATGCCTTCACAGCCGATGTCTCCGCAGCCGATGCCTTCCATGACCATGAATTTTTAGGCCACGTGTAACCACAAGTAATAAACGACGGCATGCGAATCTCATCTTTGGAACGTATATCACTTGCGAAACGAGTAATAAACGTACGAACTAATTGGCGTGGTTGTATGAATTTGCATGTACGCCAACTGCGCGCAGAGTGACAGAGCTTAATGTTACAACATGTACAAAGAAGCTATAGCTGTACGTAGGTACATAGTATTCGCCTTTAATAACTTTTGGAGCTGAGGCTGATGACTCCCATCTTCTCCTCCATGGAACAGGTGAACTATTTCAACCGGAGGTGTGGGGATAAAGGCTAATGAAACTGGAGAAAGGGAACATAATTACTGCACTAACATGATATCTACTCGCTTGTCTCTTTCTCCTCGAGCCCTTCAGTTCGATTAACTCCCAACTCATCCTCCTCATCTTTCCAGCAGTGAGTATGATGCGAACTGTATTGATATGGAAGAGAGAGAGAGAGAGAGAGAGAGATCATTGGCTATAATAGAAGGTTTCTCCTTCCAAATCTTGGGTGCGGCTTCGGATTGTTCGGAGAAAATCTTGACTGCTCCATCGAAGGTGAGAGGAGAACGTCCCCTGTGACATGGCGAAGCTGCAATGTGGGTGAAACGAGGAAGATGGCTTTCGTACTTTTGAGAGTGGCATCCAATTTCTGTGGGTTTTGATGATGAGAGACTCTCGGGGTGGTGGATATTAATTATAAGGTTCTGTAGCCATCTTTGTCGATCATTAAATTCATGCACAAATAAAATACATTTATTTTTAGATACAGGATCTTCATGAAATAAACTTTAATAAATAAATAAATAAATAAATAAATAAATAAAAAAATAAATAAATAAATAAATATATATATATATATATACACACTCTGATCCATCAATATCCTATGAAAAGTATCTTGGAGACGAGACAATATGGAGTAGAAAAAAAATAAAAATAAAACGGGTACCAACAAAGAGAAGTACAAAATATGGACTTTTTTTTTTGTTTGAAAAAATAGGGCTTATACAACAGTCCAGTTTTGAGTTTATAATGCCAAAAATGAATGGAAATAATAGCTCACCAACACAAAAATACTACTACAACAACAACAATAACCATGATTTGAATTATTATTTACTAAATTGCTAGAGTGACTACAATCATTTCACCTTTATGTTACAGTACCCCAATCCCACCATCCTTACGGAACCATTGAACAAAATAATAACTATACAAAAAACTAATACTGCAAGTCATCGAACAGTAGTTATCAGCGGCTTAGAAGAAATGTTATAGGGGGCTTTAATGACCCTCATGCTTGATGACTGTTCTCTGTAACTGGAACTGGCCTCGTCGATCGTTGATAACCTCAATGTACAAGCGGAGCCGGCAACGATCTGAATTCGTAAGGGAAAATGGCGGGCTGAGAACAAGAGATGGTGCCTCCACCAGAAGAAAACACAACAAGCATACTGCTTTTGAATACCGAGATGACGCGCTCTCTGTGTTCCCCATCATCTCATCGACCTGTTTATTTTGAGTGGAAAAAAAAAGGTGCGTTAGTGCTGTCACTAACGCACGGATCAGCATGAAACTGCAATTATTTGATGTTTTATTGAGATGCTCTTGATAAAAATACCAACCCACAAAATTCCATTTTTGTTAAAATTTAAATGGATAATCAGGTCCGTATCAGTCAAAGTCAAAATGATACTAATATTATTGACCAGAATGAATAATAAGATAATGACTTGTGTTAAATAGAGCTAAAGATTTTACTTACACCACCCTGTCTGCCCAATGTAAGGGCAGATTGGAATATTATTTCCATTGCATCTGGCAGCTTGGTAGCTACTGCATGATTATCAATTTAAGCATCAGAATTAAAGAAAAAAATTATTCTAATTTTAAAAAAGTTCGAAATTAAAACTTATAATCGTACCTGCCATTTGCCTAATTTCCCAGGAAAGCTCCTCGCCATACTCAACTCCAAAAAGAAAGTTTCTCTGAATCTCTGAGGAAATAGCATCTAATGCTTGAGAGCTTGTGCAGTTGATATATTCCACTGTTTTGGAAATGCAATTTTTCTGGGTCTTTACTTCATGCGACGGACTTGCTTCCATACCCGATGCATCATGTGCATGGCAAATGTGCAGTGCTTGCCTCCAGATAGCAAGAACCACTAGCTGAACTGAGAATGCTTCCAGTCGTTGCCCGTTTTCGATCTTTCATTCAGTTAAGTATAATGTTCAATACAGAAAGATATCAAGTCAGACCACATCCTCAAAATCAAATAAAACAAAAGTTTCAACTAAGTGATTTAATTGAATGTACATATTCCAAAAAATAGGAAGCAGCCAAGCAAATTGTGCTGAAAATTAAACAGGACTAGTACTGCAAAATCAGTTAAGCATAGGAACAAACATACGAGTAGAGGCATGCAATGATTTTAGATTACTATAAAAATCTCTATATTTGTTCCAACTACAAACTTAAGATGGAGAAAGAAGGTACCAGTGACAATGGGTGTATTTTGTACTGCGTAGGATCAAGGTTCTCAATTTCGATGTGTACCACCTGGGATGAGCGGTACATACCAATAGGATATCGATACGCGGACCACCCTCTACGGGGCGGTATCAGTGTTTTGACCCGTATTGGGCGAAACAGGGTTTGTATCGAGCGGTGTCAAAATTCGACCATTACCGATTGATATGACCTGAATTTCGACCGTTATCGAGGTGTACCGCTCTGTCACGCACTTAGTTGGTTTTGCCTAAGTCGTGCGGCACCCTTGCGTGTCCGTCCGCAAAGGTCAACCTCCCCGAAACCTCCTATGGTTCCTTAGGACCTACAAAAGAGAAAACGAGTTAGAGAAAGCATCTCACTCGGGATCCACAAACAATCATTTCAGTAAACACTTCATACCCAATGCACCTAGACGAAGCACAACTCTAGGACAGTCCGTCGCCTAGTAGCTCCCGAAGTCCACCGACTTCGTTGAAATTGATGCACCATTGTTTGGATCCTGGGCCTCTACCCCCTACCAACACAATCTCCGCTACGCACCGCTTTTTTCATGACAACTTGAATGGCAGCACTGTGGTGTATTCTTCAAGAGTACTCGCTTCCGCGTCCTCTTGTCCCGTGCCAAGGCCTTCTGAACCCAACTTTGCCTCCGCAAGTTGAGTTGCTTTGGTTCCTCTGTCAAATGCTTCTTCGAGATAAGGTGCATGCGCCTAGAAGCTCCCTTCGTCTTTGGCACCATGCAGGATGAATCCGCTCCATCAGAATGAAGGATCCATTGAACGACATGATCCCACTCTTGCATCTACAAGAGTTCATGTCCTTGACCTATGTCAAAGGAAAGCTCTGTGCCTCCGCTTCATGTTCCATCTTCTATCTCGGCTCCCTTCATGCGGCTTGGGTACTTTGCCAAGTTACACCCAAGTTGCTTCGCTCCTCGATTTGCATTGAGTTGATGCTGGTCCTCACGTCCACCATTCCACAGGTCAGCCCTCCACTGAGTCTGATCTCAATATTGGCTCCAAGTGTGTCTTCATTTATGTTACCTTGGGTCACTCCCCCACTTGATCTCGTAATGCATCCCTCAATGCATTATCTCAAGTGAGATCATGCGACGACTCCTCGCCGCTCGCTAAGTCCATTGAGTATTGTGGAGTTATTTTGAGGCACTCCTCCTCAACATGTAAGGTCCATTGCACATAATTCTCCCTTTGGAGAGTCGAGACTTATCCCTCCTGGATATCTATCCTGTTGGAGCAACTTCTCTCTTTGCTTCCTTCCCTCTAGAAGTTTCGAAGACCACCATCCCCTTGGACTACTCCGCTTTGCTGAACAAACTGTGCATTGTTCTGTCTCCCGCAAATGCACTTGCTAGATTGCGACTCCATGTCAATACAGCCCCCGCTGCATTGCTCAAGACCTAGTAACATGCTAAACTCGCTGCACACTTCAGCCTCTTAGAGAAAGTTTCAATGCTCCATGGTACCAAGTTTCGATTGCCTTGGGATGGCCACGAACATTCCATCGTCTGCATAAAAGCCCTTGCATGAGTACCGAATTCTTCGAATTAGCAATTCCCCTCACCTCTATGAGCTTTGCATAACTCTTTTGGTCGCTGAACGACCCATTCCACCTTGCAAGGTCTCATCCTTTATCAAGTGTCTCGTTTGCCTCGAGCACCATCAAGTATGGTTGCCAATGTCGAGTCGTAGCTCGAACTCAACCATCCCAACCTTTGTGCGCTACATATTCTTCCCAACTTGCTTGTCCTCATGGTGCCTCATGCGTGAAGGGTTGGCCATTCCTCTGAATGCCAATCTCAGATGCCCGCTCCTTAGAGCGACTCCTTTTCCCTACATCTCCATGCCCATTTTTCCCCAAGCGGTCGTGCATGCCAAGTGTCTCTATAAGTGTTTGTCCTGCTCTGATACAATATGTCACGTACTTAGCTGGTTTTGTCTAAGTCGTGCGGCACCCTTGCGTGTCCATCCGCAAAGGTCAGCCTCCCCGAAACCCCCTATAGTCTCTTAGGACCTACAAAAGAGAAAACGGGTTAAAGAAAGCATCTAACTCGGGATCCACAAACAATCATTTTAGTAAACACTTTATAGCCAATGCAAATAACAAATAGACTTCACAAGCTCTGAATGGTTACACAACAAAGGGTACAAAATGATCTACTACAGATCGAGATCTCCCACAAGTGTCCACATGACACAATCTTTATTTATAAATCTAAAATGACCACCAAACTTAAAGAAAATGGGGCTACTAAGCTTATTGCCAACCTTTTACATGCTGTGCAAAGCATGAACAAACCAAAAGACACGGATATACATAAGCATTACATCAAACACCTCGTTTATAATTTTGTCCGTGATAGATCGGTACGCCCTAGTATTTTTTTCAGTTCTTTTTTGGCATTTTACGGCATACTGTCGGTACACCTCGGTACGTACCGTATTGAGCAAGGCTCGGTACATCGGTATGGACCGAAATTAAGAACCTTGTGTAGGATAACCTAGCATCATTATTTCTAACCACTAATAGTATTTCTGTGGAGGGCAATTTCAAATTCTTGACATAATTGCACATTAATGAAAACCAGGAGAAACAAAATAAAAGTTAGTTACTTTTCTTGGTATAGTAAATCAAGGTTCAAACTAATCAAAGAAATATTGATCAAGCAGCATAAACCAACACAAGTACAGTAAATAAAACCACATTTGATGAAATAAGCATTGTTCAACCCTCAATCTTGGGTTATCCCTGGAATAAATGCAGAATGACTAATTGTTTCAGAAAAAAGTCAAACAAAAGATATTCCTAGAGGAGGAAGAGAAAATGAGAATCACAATCTTCACCTTTTCTTTGACCACATCTGTTATGACAGATGCAAACTGCTGCAACGATATAATCCTCGTCATGAAGTGACCTGATGGCTGCTCCACAGCATCAGACATATCGATGGATCCATGGGAAGTTTCTGATGCAGGAGAGCCACAACTTCCCAGGCTTCTTATGGCAGGAGCATTACTGACTGCTGCACCACTTATTGGCATTGGTGCACTTGATGCCCTAACATTTGGAGATGTAATTTGTGAACCTTCTGATTTGCATGGTGAATTGCTTGGCCTGGAGGGACTTACTGAAGACAAAGACATAAGCAGGGGTGGTCTAGGAACAAGGACATAATCCTGATCAACAAGTTCCAATGAGTCCACAGCCGCAGAATCTACAGATGACAGAGAAGTAACTGGTAAATCTAGAAGCTGTAATATAGTAGGCAACAGTAATAGCCTGAATATGAAAAACCATACCTTTCGAAGAGGAACTAGTAGGCTTTTGTACCATGAAAAATATATCTTTAGCAGGTACACCAGGAGACTCCCTAGAATCATGCCTATGGCCACCATATCCGGAAGAAATGGCTACAACTTCTGATGGACTACAAATCCGATTTTTATGTCCAATATCAACAGAGAATCCCGAATCCGGTCTCACTGTGCCCTTGAGCATGGAATGAGAAAGATTTCTTTTCTTCCTAATAGATTCCTCATCTAAAGGGAAAGGCAAATAGTCATCATGTGAATTTTCTCCGATGGACCTTGTACGACTGCATTCAACCAGTGGAATGCTTTCTTGCTCTCTATATATCATCCTGCAAAATGCACAGCTTAAGTCAAAATTATTAAGCCTTCATAAAGAATTGTGTGTAGCAATCATTCAAGTATATGAAAAACATTTCTGACCTTGCTATGTCAACGGGAGGCTGTTTGGAAAGAAATTGATGATTGAAGAACTCCTCAAATGTCAAACGTTCCACTGGAAGAAGTTGATTATTTATAATCATACAGAATGCGATGAAAATTTAAGTTTAAACCATATGTGGGATTCTGAACAAGAAGGTAACATGGTGCATATAATTTTTTTGAGAAAAAGATAACTCTTTTTCCCCTGACAATTTGAAGAGACTCTATGGTGTGTTGTCTACCTCATATACCTCCGTACAAGTGAGGTTAAAAAGGGATGGAAAGAATAGGCACCAAAAAAAGGTAGGTAAAAAACATTTGCCACTAGAAGGTTCCACATCCCCAGATAAACTTTAGGTTGAAACCCTCCATAACATAGCAATGCTTCAATACCATCCCCAAGTGTAACAAAAGAACACAAAGAAGATTTTTAAATGGACTTGTCTGACAAAAAGCATAAAGGACTTACATGATTATCAGAATAGCACAAGCTACACAAGAAACAGTAAAAGCAACAAAGATTTGGTTAACCTTTTCCGTTTTAAAAAATGTTAGTAAATCAATCTACATAGTGATAAAGCACAGTTATCTCCTATAAATGAAACTCCTAGAAATGTGAATTCATTATTCAACTCATCAGTGCAGGCTATTAGCATCCAATTATTTATACATTTATGTCCCTAGGGTTTTCTAGGAAGTATCAAAATTTTATCTAGAAGTTCTACATTTGATTATTCTTGTTCCTGGTTTGACAGAAACTTATGATGAGCCTATTGTACTTAGGTCAAATGGGGCCTGTCTCAAATGTTCTTTATCATAGATGTTTCTGGATCAAAAAAGAAATCATCAAAATTATTGTATTAGATCAGGAATGGCAAAGCTCCATCATTAGCTAGGATATGAGTATAAAAAGCAAATGCAGACATACCGAACCAGCCCAAGGGAGAAAGAAAGAAGTTGAGCATTGAAACAGAGATGAAAGGGATCATGAATAAAGCACCCTGTGACTCTTTCATTCTCTTGTAATGAATGTTCAATATGCTTTTTGATGTTTCTTTGAAATTAACATTTTCTTGTTGAAAAATGTCACTTCTTCTTTGTGCACTATGTCTAGGATGATTTAGGAGATTTGCCCCTTGATTTCAGGATCTTAAACAACAATCAGCACGGTGGACTCTTGCTATTCACCAAAGAAAATCCTTCTGTTGCTTTGGCTCATCTTTGTTTGGGTTTTGAAACATATTTAGTGGGTTGGCATCAAGTTAATAGCCAGTAGTTGAAAATTGAAATATAGTAAAAAAATTCATTGAGATTTCTATATATTGCTATAGTCCATCACTGGAAGAAGGCTTTTGCAGGTTGACGGATTATCTTTTCATGTGAAAACCAACTGTACATACCAGCATTAGGATGCAATAATTTCTGGCACAAATCCATACAGTCAGAGCTCAAATTGTGATGTGATGGGAAACATAGTTGTTTTGCGTTGACTATATTCTGCAGTAACTGCTTGAGAAAGGTCCTTTGTTACTGAAAGAACATACTAGAATACATAGAACAGCAGTAACAAACTAAATAAGCAAACCTCTATTTGATTATTTGCAGTAAAAGGTGTCTTTCCTGTTACAAGTTGATAAAATATAACTCCAACACTCCAGAGATCTGCCTGTCATTTTAGTAAAACATGATAAACAAAATAGGCTGCACAAAATAAATGAATAGTTTTATTATAAGATAGGATTCATTTCTCACCTTTCCATCATACTTCTTCAATTCCATTACTTCTGGAGCCATGTAAAGGGGTGTACCACAAAGAGTATCAGCTAGGGTAGAAGGTGACAGAGATCTGCCAGATGAGTTTAACAAGAAAACACAGAAAAAGAACCATATTGTGAAAAAGAAAAAAAAAGAGTTGTTGGATAAAGTGCCCGAAACAAACACAATCTTAATAGAAAAGAAGGGGAAGAAATAGAAAATTTCAACAGTATTTTTCCACTTCAAGAGATGTGAAGATCTTGAATATTTAAAATGCATAAGAACAATCAGTATCAACAAGGTTTGACATAACACTAAAAATGGTACGATACATACTGGTCCAACGAGCGACCAATACGCAGACCGCCCTATACCGAGCGGTTTTTATTAGGAGGGGTGTACAAGGTGGTACGAGGGTATATACTGAATGGCATGGTCGAAACTCGACTGTTACCGACTTGTACCGGTCAGTAACATTTGGATTTCGATTGATGGCTCAGATTCAAGTGTCTTCAATGGTCAATTTGATAGTTGGCAACATTTGAATGGGCTTTTAAACTCATTCCTCCCTGCTCTTTCAATTTCTTTCACTCTTACATTCTCTCTAACTCATTCTCATTCACATCTCTCTTTCTTAGATTTTCACCCTCTTCAACTCAAGCAAAGCTTTAAGACATTGTAACACTTTATTTAGAGGAGGATCACTGTAATCAAGAGGTATGTATTCCCTTTCTAGTTCTTTGTTCATTTATGCTATGATTAGGTCTATTCTATGTAGTTAATGCCTATCAGGGTGTTTGACATGTTTATAGTGGTAAAAGTGGGCTAATTAGGGAGTAATATAGCTTAATATTGTAATTAATCGATTTAATATTGATTTCGGCAAAATTAGACACATATTTGGTTAATTCTATGTAGTTAATGCCTATTGAGGTGATTGACATGTTTACAGTGGTAAAGGAGGGCCAATTCAACATTAATACAGTATTTTAATGCTGTGATTAGTTGATTTAATGCAAATTTGATCAAAATTCAACGTCAACTATATGTAGTTAATGCCTGTTGTGGTGATTGACATGCTTATAATGATAAAAGAGAGTTAATTAGGCAATAACACAGTTTGTTTAATGATGTGATTAGTGGATTTAATACTGATTTCATCGAAATTAAACCCATATTGAGTCAATTCTATGTAGTTAATGTCTTTTAGGGTGATTGACACGATTATAGTGGTAAAAGAGGGCTAATTAAGTAATAATATAGTTTTTTTTAATGCTGTGATTAGTGGATTTAATACTTATTTCATCAAAATTAGACCTATATTGGGTCAATTCTATGTAGTCAATGCTTTTTGGAGTGATTGATATGTTTATAGTGACCAAGTAGGGTTCATTACATATAATCATAGCTTGTTATTTCAAATTCGTTGGCAATTAGGGCTTATGACAGTTTGTTAATTTGATAAATATTTGTAGGAGCATGGGATCGAAGGAACAAACATGATGATGCTTGGGATCATGTCCACCATTTGGACGACACTCCTCATCATTGGCAGTGCATATTGTGGCTACATCGGCCGAGATGAAAGAATCACTTGATTGAAGCAACATTCGATCGACGATTATCCCGATGTTGCAAAATGAAAACAAGTTCCGATGGAGATCTATAAATTATTTCAAGATAAGCTACAATGGGCAAAGGACAATGAAGTGCAAAAGAAGGCCAAGGAACAGGAAGAATTCAGGCAGGTTACGTAGGAACCCGTTTATGATTAATAGAGGGTCACGACAATGATGTCGACCTGAATATTAGAGCTGGTATTCGTGCATCACTGGAACATCAGTACATGTATGAGGAGACAATGAAACATCAATGACTTGACTCACAATAGGAGTATGACAATGGTAGTGGGTCAAGGCCATAGGGTATCTAAAAGAGGGCTAGCATAAGGCAGCCAATTGCCCCTCTTCAGTTAAGCAAGATTGGTAGCATGAGGTAGGGTAGAATCTAAGATTTTATGAGAGGACTTAGTAGAAGCTTAACATATGATATTGTTTATATTGATCCGCAAGCTTATTCTCTACAAACAACAAAACATAAAAGAATTGATGATGCCTATACAAAAGAAAAGAAGCGAGATATTGGCAAGGCAATAGCAACGTGATTAAACTTCCACAATATTATAGCAAATGGAGCTCAAGGTCCATATTCTATAGCATGGTGTCTTCGATCCAAAATGCTAGCACAGGGATCCAACATCTTACACCGAATGAGATATATGGTGTTTATTTAGATGAGGAGGTCACAAAACTGAAAGATTGGATTAAATTCTTCAAGAGACAGTAGGATGACACTGATGTGTGATAGTTGGACTGGACCTATAAGAATGAGCATCATCAACTTTCTTGTCTATTGCAATAGAAGGATCATATTTTACAAGTTGGTTAATGCTTTCGATAAAATTTAAGATGCAAACTATATTGAGAACCTAATGGACACTGTGGTAGAAGAGATCGGGTCTTAGTATATTGTCTAGATTGTGATCGATAATGGAGCTAATTTCAAGAAGCTCAATTTACAATTGATAAAGTGAAGAGAAACACTGTTTTAAACTCCATATACAGCTCATTGCATGGACCTTACGATGAACATTAGTGGGTTACCATCAGTAATAAAGTGTGGCAAGGGCACGACCGGTGACAAAGTTTATATACAACCATCATTGGGTCCGCTCCTTGATGTAGAAGTCTACAAATGGTGAGACACTCCAACCCAACGTAACTTAATTTGCTAAAATTTTAATGCTTTAAAGTCAATCTTGCAAAAGAGGCATGATCTCAAGGCAAAATAATGGCATTACAGGAATGATCATATTCACAGTATTTAAAACCAAGTGATGTAAAAAAGATGGAGAATACAATTCATACTTCTAGATTTTAAGAGTCCGTAAATGAAATTATAACAATAATAGAACCATATGTTATCCTCCATAAGGTCGATATGGAGATACGTCCACAGATGCCTTATCTTCGATATATATTACTTACAACCAAAGAATAGGTAAATAAAGTATTGTCCGATGGTTAGAAGGCTGATCAATACTTACAGATCATCGATCGTAGGAGCAAATCCCATAGGGTCTAAGACATCCATAATGCAGGTAAATTTATATTATAGTCATTTACTCATTTATAATATGAATAATCATTATTTAAAAATTTAATATAACGAAATCATGTCTTGTAGAGCATTATCTAAATCCGGCCATTCAGTTTCGATAGTCTTGGGACCTGACTAGATTTATTAGAAGCACTAAGGAATATTATATATCAACACTTGCCACAAAGTGTCGATGCAATGGAGGCTATTATGGAAGGTCGATTATGCCAAGAAAGTGTCAGTTCATTTTTCGATGGTGTAGCTATATCGTGTCATTACAATATGAATCCTGGTAAAGAACAGTTACACACCCACACACCCATCTTTGATTATAAATTGAAATTGACATCAATAATTTGTTATGCTAATAAAGCCTTATTTATATTTTTTTACGACCAAGTGGTGACTACAACTTGAAAGGTCCGCACCTAATTTAAGAAAGGTTATGGTCCATATACTTTCGTAGATGGCGTCATCGAGTGGTTGTGAATGTAATTGATCAATGTTCACCTTAATTCACATGAAGGTCAGTAATAAACTATTATATAAATGATTGGAGAAACTTATATACGTCCACTACAATATGCTACTAAGGTTATGGTGTGTTGAGCTAGACAAGGAGTCAAAGGAACCATAGATTGATCCCTTCGATCTTCAATACTATAACCAAGTTTCACAGTCAATGTTAGGAATAGGTCAAAGCAACAAAGAACCAAAGGGATCCTTGATGAGGTGGGAGATCCTCCACATCCTTCTCGTTTGAATCACCGGGCAATAGAAGAGGAGGAACAACATCCCCAACAACAAGAAGATCTCCCACGGTCAGAACATGGTGGAAGGAGCCAAACAACCTTAAGTTAGACTACTCGAGGTCATGACACATAACAGTCAGTCAGGGGAAGACATTAGCATTAGTCGAACTATCAGAAAGAATTGAGTCAGGCGACGAGACACTTTCTTAATCACATTCAACAACCTGCTCGATCCATAGAGATACCAATGACATAGATAGTAGCGCTTCGACCGACGATGGTGACGACAGGAGAGTCGATGGTTCCGTCTACTCAGCCACAGGGTGGTGAATGGACTAAGCAATATATTACGCATGCCACCTAAGATTCAAATTATGGAGCTCAAGCAGATAGCTACAGTTTATACACGAAAGAGGAAGGGGAAGGGACAGGCAATCGATGATTTTGACATATGCGATAGAGCCTATATGACATAAACACCGAGCAAAGCTCGTTGTATTTCAAATCATCGCATTATGGAGGATCTTAAGGCCTATAACAGTATAGTGATAGTTAGTCATAAGGTATGCGATACCATATCGTACCGGTGTTTCGAGGTTGGCTCGGTACGGTATGGTACCGATGTACCGAGCGGTACACCCTGGTGTACCGAACAATTTTATATATTTTCTTCATTACTGTAGCACCATAGCACTGCTACAACGTAATACTGTAGCACTGTAGCGGTACCGGGCGATCCGCGTACCGGTATACTATCGGACCGGTATGTACCGCCCGTACCGGGTGGTACCATTTGGTACTGCATACCATGGTTGGTCATTCTTTTCTAAGGTTGATTGGTCTTATGATGCGGAGCAACATATTAGTGGCGAAAGTAGAAACTCTGGTATTCTCCATCCTCCGCACCAATACATGCCACAATCATACTTACCTTAGGAGCCACCTCACACGTGTGGTTCAAGACGATTAGGCTACAACTGTTACTATATTGATGCACCAATAGTGTACAAACTATCGGTATACCATGTCGTAGGAGCAATTTTAGGATTAGATCCGACAAATATACCATATTGATATACAAATATATAGGATCAAGGACCTCGATCAACCGCCTGTTGAGTCCCGTTGTTCATTTTAGTAGTAGAACAAGTATATTCATTGGCCGATTCATTTATTATTTAATTCATTTGAATCTTAAAGTTTTGTCTCATGATCTAACAATTCAAGTCATATCTTTGTAGATAATTTAATATCAATAGAAGAACGACTCGAAACGTGTCGTAAAGCTGCTCCTCAAAGCTTAAAAAAGATAAATCTACTATCCCTTCCTAATTTAGATGATTTTGATGAAATTAAACTAAACTTGCATTTACTTCCAAATTAAAAACCTGAATATGTTTTTTTTTTCTATTTTTCAGGTATTTTGAGGGTTCTTGGGATTTTTTGGGACCATCAGTATTCCCCAGCATATTGACACACGGTACACTAATACGGAACTGTACGTGTCGTACCACCGACCAACCGATCGGCACAAGAAGACAAACCTTGGTATCAAATTTTATTTAAGATTTAGTCATTGCAAGAGATTATAAGGAAAACAATAGGCTCTAGAGCAATATTCCAGAGCAGACAAGACATCTAAATAAACCAAGAATTTCAGCGATGTAGAAGAGAGTAGCAATGAAAGAGGGGAAGGATGACATCTAAGAGCAACGAATACTTCACATTAATCGAGACTGAAGACCACCTTCTAGAATAGATATTTCATAATTAGATTAAAATCTAAAACAAAATCTGTTTCATGCGAAATCTTGAATTATGTTAAGTAGACAACTTTCACATTCAACTAATTAAAATAAACTACAACAATTTAACATCTCTAATTTTATGGTGCTATTGATGATATATAACAACTCACAAAAGTTTTCCCTAAATGCGACAACCATTAAAAATGAAAATACGAGAAATTCCTTTGCTTAATGACATTCTAGGCCAGAGAAATTACCCTATTTGATGTTGGCTCATCTTATTCCAAAAACCTAATATGATTAGTGATGCAAAAATTCATTGTATTTGCGAATGAATAGATAATATATCATTGGAAACCTTGTAAAACTAATACAACATCACAAGAAAATTTTGTCAACTTGTAAAACTTGTATTAGATATCTTCACACGAATTCGCTAACTTGTCAAGTCATAGGGAATTCACAGTAAACCTTCCTCGTAACTGATGATTAATGAAGAATACGATTTACTTACATCACATTCCACAATAGATTGGTTAATCCACACATCTGATTTTATAAGTTATGAAAAATTAAAGCTTTGTAAGAAAAATAATAGTCAACACCATAAGAAGTGGCATTCACCTACAGTTAATACAATATTTATGGTCACCAAAATAAATAAATAATTGGTATTCATTAAATAGTAAAAGAATAAGAAACAAAAGAACACACCTAGCAAAGCCAAAATCTGCAATTTTCAAGGTTGCATTTTCATCATATGTTGAGAGAAGAAGATTCTGTCAAACAAAGGATTAAGCTTTAGATGGAAGTTCTGGAATTTAAAACTAAGCTTAGTGACAAGAAAAAGATTATTAACTAGTGACCAGCCAAGAAGCATAATCCAATTTAAACATTGTTTGCATATATTAACACAAATAATCAATAAGCTCATTGAATATATCAGAATGTTAGAAAGTGAAAAAGACAAATCAAACTATCAAAGCAAGATAAGTTGCAAAAAATAACTAGAGATGAAACATATTCTTGGCAGTAAGGCTGCAAAATCCTAACAAAAAAATAGAGGTGAGAGTCTGAAAAATTCCAAAATTAAGATATAAACACGATATTTCGGAATGTCCAGCCAGCTTTCAGAACCATAAGCTTCAAATATCAGAGATCAAGCAAAAGTATGGGAGCAAAAAAGCAGAATAAAACCTGTGGCTTCAGGTCACGATGAATGACATTATTAGCACGGAGAACCTGCAAACCAGAAGCTATAAAAAGAAATGTAAATTAAATTAACCGCATTTCTGTAACAATGCTGCAAGAAAGACCATTAAGGAGTGTAGAACATAACAATTTTCCAAAAGACAAACAACAGTACCTAGCTGTTTCATAAAATACATTGCAGTTGCTTCGGAAACTCTACCATGACTCTGTATGTACAAAGATAAATCGCCACCTCTGCATAACTCCAATACAAGATATATTCGCCCAGGAATCTGGTATAAAATGATGGGCATAAAGAAAAAAATGCAGAATTATGAAAAGGCATGAATGCTAGGAAACATTTTTTGTTCTATTTAAATTTCTTGCACAAAAGGATATTAAACCTTGCAACAAGTACTATCTTAAAATTTTGAACCAGAAGAAAAGTACTATCATTTTTAGAAAAAGCATCGTGTCCACAAAGCTCCCAAGTTTTTGGATCTAGGGAGGGTGTTGTACCCTCACTATCATGGATATTGATGCTAAAGCATTAACTAAAAAAAAGGTTAGACTGTTTAAAAGAAACCAAAGAACCAAACTACTAGCAGACAAAACGCAAAAAAGATAAGGAAAAAATTAAAAAAAAAAGAAGAGAAAAGAAGGCCTGTAGCTAGTCATATTAGTTACTTTGTCTAAACCAGCTGAAGAATCCTAAGAATAATAAAATTCACTAGTCAATTTAATAATATACAGAGTGTACCACCAAGGATTTACCAATTTGAGCAGAAACTGGTACACTCTATGTACAACATTGCTGCCTACATTTTGACATTGTCGATGGACAAACCATCTGGTGCAGGTACCATACATACAGTCTGGTAGTTCTATTTTTTAAAAATAAAAGTGAGCTTTTAAAACTATTAAAATGAACTAATTGTCAATAAATATGATCACAAATTTAATTAGAAAATATTGGTCTTCCTAGGAAGTAGGAAGCACCTATTATATATAAGAGTCTATCATCCCACCATGAGGGTACCAAAGAGTGTATTGGATCATATATATTCCCAAGATCTGTTCCTAAATGACATCAAACAAACAACTAAAACTCTCAAGTTAAGATCCAAATAAATTTGTTACAATTCCTGATTATTACATCTAAATGGCATTAATAAAACTCAAACAGATTAAAATCAAGTGTCTTAAACAACTCTAAGCTCATGCTGGAATGCATCAATGGCCTTCCTCAGTTGGAATTGTGCCATTAGATTCTTAGAATTTCATGTATGTCTAAAATCAAAAGATCAACATATGCAAAAAAGATTTCATGTGATAAGTATGGAAAAAGAATCCAATATTTTGATAGTTATCTAAAACCAGATATTTATCCAAAACCTATCCAGTACAAATACCACAAGCAATTTAAAGTATCCATGTTTAACAGTAGTTAATTTATTTATGATAGTTCTACCACAGCATGATCAGCATCCTAACATAATTAACCAAGGAGCTCCTTTTTAATCAATCTATTCAATCAGGTCATATAATATTATTTCCACTATTGATAGAGTTTGTTTTTCACCTATAAAAAATATTTCAACACTATATCCAAAATGTGATGCTCAGACAATGACAACCAAGTTTCCCAATAACGTGATTGTGGTTATAGGTGGCTTTAGGATCTACATTAGAATCGAAAGCAAGAGCCAGCTTAGCATACGGGTTCAGGTATGATTGGCCAAAGATGAATATGAAAATAATAATTCAGAAACAAAAAGTGAAAAAAATAAAAATGTGTGGTCCAACATATTACTATAACTTACTGTTAAGAAATTTTAGTTTTTATAACGTGATAGAAACTCTTTAGAAAATGATTCATTCAAGTCATGGGTTTTCAAAACTACAACTCTAATGACCATATCCCCCTCCAACCCAGCAACATTAAATTTTTTGATATAATCAGTTGGTATTTGTCCAACTTTTTTATAACATAACTTACTGCTAAGAAATTTTAGGTTTTATAATGTGATAGAAATTTTTTAGAAAATGTTTTATTGTCATCATGGGTTTTGAAAACGACAAATCTAATGACCATCTGCCCTTCCAATCCAGCAACATTAATTTTATGGATATAATCAGTTAGTATTTACTGATATAAGGAACCTAATCTACCTAAAACGAGACTCTGATATAGGATCCAATCTAAATTAAACACAAAACATTAACTCAAGGCTAACATTAAAAAGGTAAGAATGGATAGTTTCACAAGAGACTAAATCCTCATCCAACTAACTAAAACTTAACAAAACTCGCCACCAAGGCTGCATCTTTTGCCTCTGCTGTGCATCAACATACCTCATGATCATCTAGCATATTTGTAAATGTTGTAGAAATCCAAAGGTAGTGATGCTCATTCCTTATTTCAGATGACTTCTTCATGAAAAAAAGGCTCAATCGGGCACCAAAATTGAGAGAGGTGTTGAAGTTAATAGCCTTCATAGCAGTGTACAGCAGGTTTGACTGTCAAACAAATGTAGATATTGAAAATCATGGAACGGCCTTAAATCTGTTGATGGTTGTATCTGCATACATTATTGATGACTTCAAAGACAAACAAAGGATTTTAATACTTAATTATTTGCTCAGCAACCATGACCTTCTTGATTATGAACTGCGCTATGAAAAAATCCAAGCGAATTTTAAGATATTGTTAATCCAATTAGTTGCTTAGTTTACATCTACTTGCTAATTGCATAACATCTAAAACTCTTATTTTGGGATTTAATTATTACATTTTGAACCAGACCTGACAGTTGGATGTAAATGAAGATGTTTCTGCACGAACCCTAATATACCAATGTGCCATAGTCTGCACTCAACATACACCAATACGAGTTTATCAAGAATTTTCAGTAGCATTTTCACGGGACCTTTGTTTCTGTTTCACCATCTTTTCAAACCCCACATGGTCATCCTTGGTCCCTGTTCAACATAATTAGACCATGTTCTCCATGATCCTGTTCATAGTACCATCAAACATCAGTAGGAGTACATTCGTGTGGGTTCTAATTTCCAAGTCCCGAGTCATTTTTTATTTATGCAGCGCCACAGATCAACAACAAGACATCCGTAAGCTAAAATCAACAATCAGGTGAAGATATCAAATCAAAACACATGTCCATGCATATTTTGACTCAAGACGAACCATTTAACAAAATTCATCCTTCTCAGTCGTTAATAGAAACAACAGCAGATAAAACAGAGGTGGTTCAAAGCAACCAAAATCGGCACCTAGTTCCAGCTATTAACTAAAAGAAAGGACCAATGACCACAGCAAGTAAACAAGAAGCCCACGAGTTTCTTCTATCGAGGAAGGAAGGCGAAAAGAAAACTACAAGAAAACGGGGAGGACCTGGATGAAGTCGTAGAGAGCGATGATGTTAGGGTGGCTGATGCGACCGAGGATGGAGACTTCGGAGAGAAGGCTGCGCCGCAACTTCTCAGAAAGACGAGACATGGCAATTTCCTTGACGGCCACCTCCGTTCCCTGAATGCGGTGCCGCGCCAGCCACACAGTAGAGAAAGCTCCCGCCCCAATCTGTCGATCAATAATGTAATCGCCCACGAGCCGGCGCCCTCTCGCCACACCGCCAGAGGTGCTGGCCATTGCGGCAGACGGCGGAACCCTAGGAGAAGACGAGGATTTTCACTTATTGTCGAATCTCTGATTGAGTCAAACTTGATTCTTCTTCGTTTTCTTATTGGACTACGGTTCGATCGCGAGCAGGAATCGGGAAGAAGTCGGGCACCAAAGGGAAGCAACGAGAGAGATTCCAGGTCGCGCGTTCGTGCGGTCCAAGACGGAAAGAGGCGGGCTTTATAGCGTCGCTTATTTTATATTTTTATGTAAAAGTTAGCAACTATCTATCTAATTGTACATTTTTAATGTGTTTAAGATAAGATTATGTATCGTTGGCACGTCGGTGATATGGGAATGGAGCCACGCTACAGTTTTTGTTTTCAAAACCTTCCGTAAAAATACATTATAGTATTTTGGATGAATTTATTTTTCGATCGATATTCCTTTTTCTTTCTCCTAAATAATAATTTTTTTTTATTTTAAAAATATCTCCAAAATTTTTTTTATTAAAAATTGTTTTACTCATTTTGTTATCAATTTTAAACTATTTTTATTGGACTCATTTATAATATTTTTAATAATATTTATAATATTTTTTATTGAAGTACTAAAAGTGCTATAAACACATGTGGCGTATATCATATTTTTAGACTTATAATTTATAGAATTTTCAGCTAGGTCTTTCAGTATTTTTATTACGGGTGTCAAAATATTATAATAAAATAATTTTTAATTTTTATTTGAGTGATGTTGTCCTAAACGATTATAAACTTGTATTTAAAATATAGTATTGTATATCAAATGGTTTCTAGGGTGTTTTGGTTTTATTTGACTCATACATAATATTTTTATTGTGATGATCAAAACATTGTAACATATCAAAAATATTACTAAAGTACTCAATAAGTGAACAATTTTTTGAGGGAAAATTTGGGTTATTTATAATTATTTTTTATTTAAAAAAAAAATTGAGTTGATTCTCATGAGGGTTTATTGAGTACACCCCAATATAATAATTTTATTTTTCTTTTTAGAATCAAAGGAAGCAGAATATTGCATGTGTGAATTCTACCGATGGAACTTCTTCACCTCTCTTCCAAATGCAATCGGATCAATTTGATCGAAGTAATGTTGATTGATGATCACAACTTTTTTCAAAAGAAAGAAAATGTATCTGCTACAAACCTTACCATTGTTTGAACGTCAAATAATTTAATATTGTAGTGGCTAATTGGTCCTGGATTTGTTGTTTTTGTTTAAGTCAGGCGGCCGACCAATGCATACACCTATTAACTTCCAAAAAAAAAAAAAACATGTAAAATTTTCACACCCATAAATTTATCGAACCATAAGAATACATTTCGAAAATTATTGATACGGTTGCATGGAGGATGTTCTTCTCTACGCAACAATTTTCACCGATGATTTATCATCTGATTCGTGATAGAAGATAAGATTTTCCTAACTATATGAGGAAATTTCTCTATTCTGTTGAGGAAAATCTTCTATTCTGTTAGGGAAATCCTTCCTCCTAATTCCTATAAATAGGAGAGGGAACATGTTAATAGATTCAAGCTAAAGTTTCTCTATTTCAATAAAGCTTCTTATATTATATTGTTCTTATCTTCTATTATTTCTATCATGGTATCAGAGCCGCTTGCCTAGAGTAAGCTCTCTTCTCGCTGCCAATTCATCATTGGTGTTGCTACTCTGCGCCATCGTCCGTTCCTTTCCGCTACGGCATCTCTAGTGCTGCTCATCAGCACTGTCCCACCTTTCTTCCTCGTTGTAGCTATTTTCCTTCCTCTTTTGCTACAGCTTCCTCTTCTACTACAGCTTCCTCCTCTGTTGCAGTTTCCTCCTTTGCTATAGTAGCAACACTGCAACATTGCTGTAGATTTCTTCTCTACCA